AATAAATACAAGCAGGAAACTAGTTTAGTCCAAATAACAAATTCAATAATAATGTAAAAAGAAAGGGGGGGGGGGTAAATAGAAATATGACAAAGAAGTACGTATGTTAAACACAACCGATAGACCGTGGAACTAAATGGGTAAAGGAACAAAGGGATTCTTTGCTTGCAGGAATATGTTATAAGGTTTACAATAATAACTCTACAGAAAGGAAGAAAGTTATATGAAGTTATAGTCTAATACAGTGTGAAAACAGTCAACGTGGTGAAAGAGGTTCTCCATGACGCAGCAAAAATAAATGTATACAAAGTGGTCACCCTAAACATATGTTCAAATAGTAATACATTAAGACAAAACAATACTTAAAGCAAAGGTTAACGTATTACATACCGGTGGTACTAACATCGGAGATAGATTTATGAGGATAAGAAAGTAGGAACCGCGTGGTTTCACCTTGTGGTCTATTGTACTCATTCCAGTAATTACTAAAGGCTAAACAGGAAATGGTAAAAAAAAACGCGGTGTCTAATATATAATTTACCTAAATTAAAAAGGAGACGAACAAGGGGGAAATAAAATAATAGATATGTTGTAGCGTGGTAACAGAACAGTCCTATTAATTGTAATCTCGTCTAGTAGAACCATGTCTCTGTTGCCTCCAGTTTTCTATTCATCTGTGAAGAACTTGTCAGCATTCAATGGCATACAGGAGGAGTTATATTAAATATCCGATCATTTCTCTTTTCTTTATTTCTAACGAATTTTTCCTGTTTCTTAATACTTTTCTGAGCTTTTGGAATACATCTTTTACTATTCCAATGTACATTCGTGTTTCGGTGTCACATGTTCATCGTCAGTCATAACACTTACCTGTTCCTGTGTTGTTTCACTTGCTGACGATCATACATTCTGTTTTCGGCAAACATGGATAAACACGCCTTCAATAAGACAGAGTTTTAAAAGGACGGTTTTTCCCATGACACCGGCTTTTTAACAACCTTCACTCTTCGACAATGTTTATTGTTTAAAAAACAATGATTAGAATTGTAATAAAACGTAAACATATGAAAGTGAATTTATACATTTTTTTTGTTCTTGAGAACTGACAAGAAAAATAATAAACACTTTTTATTTATTACATTGTTTATTTACATTATTATATTATTTATTGGAATCATTGGCAAAACATCAGCAAAACGATTCGAACTTTATAAAATGGTAAATAATAAGGATTTCCTTATATTTGATTCATATATTTTAATATTTTAGTAAATGTTTATAAATTTATGAATAGAAATTGTTTTCACAATTATAAATTGGTAAATGATAAATATTACATTGCATTTAGTTTTAATGAAATTATAAAATTATTCTTGTAAATAAAAAATCTAATAAATAAATAGTGTTCAATATTCTTTTTGTAAATTCTCAAGAACAACAAAAATATATAAATTCCCTTTCATCATGCGTTTAGGTTTTATTCAAATTCTACTCATCGCTTTTTAAAACAATAAACATCGCCGAAGTGTTAAGGTTTTTTAAATGGCGGTGTCATGGAGAAAAAACAAGTTCTTTTGATAATGTCTTATTGTGGGGACGTTTATTCATGTTTGCCCTGTCTTTGTTTTTTTTTGTTTTTTTTTTTACCTTGTGTAGATGTGTTTGCCACCAACATGCATTCATCTGGATGCAAATTTGGAGAGAAGACGTATCTTTGTCTTGCGTAATTTTACGTTTTTGTGTTCTGGCTCAATTCCTTTTCTATCCTCGTGGATTGTTCCTGGTAATTGTTCTTGATTTATTTTATTTTTATTTATTTGTATTCTACTTACATTTATTTTTTAATCCTAATTGTTTGGGTTGATCTCAGTATATTCTAATCATAGTGTAGGGCACTTGATAGAAAGAACTTATTACACTGCAGTAATAGTTTCTTATAATACCTCTCTGATTTTATCGCCTAAATAGAGCTATTTTACAGCTAATTCCATTATTTCTGATTCTTCATTGCCTGATTTCGTGAGTATTTCTTTGTTCTTACCTTTTGTTACTCTCTCTTTTTCTTACTTCTTCTTTTCTTTCCCACTCTCTCTCACTTTAGTAAATCTTTTTAATCATTTCACCCCAAGCAAGGCGATAAAACCACTAAAACGCAGGGTGCAGGGGGTGAAAGAGAATGATAAGACGTTATTTAGAAGTGTGTTTGTTTGCTTCTCGTCATATCAACTCTTTATGGGCCATTTAATGCCGATATTTAATTTTTTTGGAGACATTAGTAATTTCTTTACAAAAATGCCGGTAATATTTTTTTCCACAAAAATATATTGCTGGTAATAATTTTGTTACAAAAATGTATTGCTGGGAATATTTTTTTGACAAAAATGTATTGCTCGTAATATATATTCTTTTACAAAAATTCTGGTAATATAAAAATTGATGGTAATATTCTTAAAATAAAAATGTATTGCTGGTAATATTTTATTTTTTTACAAAAATGTATTAGTGGCAATATACATTTTTTTACAAAACTTCTGGTAATACAAATACTTCTGGTACTTTCTTTTTTCAAAAATGTATTGCTGGCACTATATTTGTTAGTAAAAATGTATTGCTAGTAATATATATATATATATATATATATATATATATATATATATATATATATATATATACAAAAAATATGTTAATACAAAAGTTGCTGGTAATATTCTTTTTATAGAAATGTATTGCTGGTAATACTTTTTTTTATTAATATGTATTGCTGGTAATATTTTATTTTTTACGAAAATTTATTGCTTATAATATTTTATTTTTTTTTACAAAAATGTATTACTAGTAATATAAATATATTTTTACAAAACTTCTGATAATACAAACATTTCTGGTAATTGTTTTACAAAAATGAATTGCTGGTAATCTTTTTTTACAAAGATGTATTGCTGGTAATATTTTATTTTTTTACGAAAATTTATTGCTGGTAATATATATATATTTTACGAAACATCCGGTAATACAAACATTTCTGGTATTTTTTTTTCAAAAATCTATTGCTGGTAATATTTATTTTACAAAAATGTATAGCTGGTAATATTTTTATTTGCAAAAAATTATTGCCAAAATTTTTACAAAAATTCTGGTAATACAAAAATTGCTAATTTTTTGTACAAAAATGTATTGCTATTAGTATTTAAAAAAAAACCTTCTGGTGATACAAGAATTCTGGTAGTACAAAAATTGTTGATAATTTTTAATTTTTACAAAATGTATTGCTGGTAATATTTTTTCCTTACAGAAAAGTATTGCTGCTTTTTAAAAAAAAAATTAAAAAAAACTTATGGCTGGTAATTTTTTTTACTATGAACATGTATTGCTGGTATTTTTATGAATTTTTTATACTTTGATAGTGTTTTGACATTAGTTTGAGTGTTAACTATTTGCCTGTAGCTGAGACCCTAACAGGTGCTACCACCCCAGGTCAGAGTGGACCTAAGACCAACAGCAATTAAAAGGTGGTTCCACGCTCCTCAAACACTCCCGATAAGAGGCCTATTTATATTTAAAAATGATGAAAGGACAATAAATGAACAGTGTTCATGAAGACAGAATATGACGATTGATGTTGCATTTAGATTTTTGGAGATTGTAAGTGACAGGGAAGCAAGAAATCGGAAGAGAGTTCCACAGGTGAGAAGTGCAAGAAAAAAATTAGAATAGAAGTGTGCGGTTACATCTAGCTACTTCAGCAGTAAAATGGTGAGACCTAATTGCCAATCTAGTCGTACGTTTAAATCCATGTAGAGGAGAAAAAAAAAAGCTCCCCAGAACAGTTACCGTGAAAATGTTTGAAGAGAAGACAGAGATCCTCAAATATCCCAACGCATTTTCCCGACACAGTTTGTCTTACATTCTGACCTGACGAAATCAAGAACATGTGTCGAAACGCGTGTTTTATAGCTTTTCCACTTGGTCTCATCATCACCATATTATCTGCTCTTTAAGTTTTAGTTCGCTTTTAACTGCTTCCTTTTTATTTCCCACTATGTATTTTCTCTTTTATTTTCTCCCTCTAAATGATTCGCGTTTTCCTCCCTGTCAGTCGTTCTCTCTTCGCAAAAATGTATGGCCGCGTTTTGTGACGTCAGTTGTCTCGTATCTGCTATTTCCTCAAGTCAAATCAGATCATCATAAAGAAATGCTTTGTTCGATCCTGTCTGCGTGCATTAAAAAAAAAAAAAAATTATTGCCTTTTTCTCTCCGTATTTGTTATCTATATTTTTTTGGTTTTTGACACCAACATAAATATTTTTTTCGTTTTCCCGCGCATTCATTTCCTTTCGTTAACGTTTAAAAAACTAAAATTTACCTTTTCTTCCCTATCGACATTTTTCTATTTTTTTTTCTCGAATGCAAGAGCCTCTTCTACATTCTTGATCTCTATTCAATTATTTATTAATCGATTAACTTCGATCATCATCATCATCATCATTAGTCGCATGGCCAAGTATGATCCGTAGGGTCTCTGTGTAGCTGATCAACTGAACTGTTCCACCAACCCCATATCGTTTTTTCCCTGGGGCCCTGACGACATGAATTTAAGCGTGTTACTAGATTAGCATCTAGGTTCCACTCGTTTACTGTTGAAATAGATAAATTCAATCACCTCTTCTACTCTAACGGTTTCTTTTCTCGCACTTCTCGCCTGTGGAACTTCCTTCCGTTTACTTGCTTCCCTGATAACTACAATCTTCAAAAAAAAAAATAAGAGCGACGTCAATCGTCATGTTCTATCTTCTTGGATCCTATTCAGCTTTTATCCTTTCCTCAATCCCCTCACCCCCCCCATACCCAATCTTTTCTCTCACTTTCACTATTTACAACCTCCTGCGTACTAGTGGCATTTCCACCTTGCTTGGGGTGAAATGATTATAAAAAAAAAAAATCTGGTTTGCAAGCCAGCGATCTTTTCATTCAACTAAACCTAGCGGATCACAGCCGCATCACGTTGAAACACTGGTTCGTGTACGATCACCGAAGTTAAGCAACATCGAGTCTGATCAGTTCCTAGATGGGTGACCGCTTGGGAAGACCAAGTGCTTTAAACTCGGATGTGTAGGTGGTGTAATATATAATGACTCGGAATTGTTAATCGGAGAGCCGAGTTCCAATTCCCATTGGGTTCGTTATATTCACTTACGCGCAAATATCCTTAGGAAATTATGAATCTACCTCGTCTCCCTAGGGCTATGGGTTAATTAGTAAGATTTGTATCACTAAATGATTATTATCTAAAAAAATTCTTACAATCTACAAATATTTTCTGGCTTTAAATAAACTGCAAAGGGTTGATAAACCGTAGAAAACAATAAAAAAATAAAACCTCTTCAGATCAAACCACAAGTCGTACCCCAGTTCAACCGGGAAAAGGATACAAGATTTGAATAGGTAAAATAGAAATAAAAAGGAATCTTATACTTATCATGAAGAAGAGACAGTTGAAATTTCTGTGGCGCAGAATGAAGAAGGAAGGCTTGGAAAATCTGATACTCACAGGAAATATTGAGGGAAAGAGAGACACAGAAAAACAATGCGTAATATACTTTATAGGCTTTTAAATGGATGGTAAAACATGGTTTGGGAGAAATAGCAAAAAGATAAAATATATTAAGAGCTACAAGAAACAGGAAGATGTGGAGAGCCATCATCGCCTACTCCCTGAAGGGACATAAAGAAGACGAAGAAGAGTGTCCCTTCCTTTTATGTGATGTATGCTTCTTACAAATTTTGGTTCCTTTTTTTCTCAAAGCGGCATTTGATGTTTTGCCATCTCTCTTTGCTCCCAAGTTGCCAACCCTTCTTCGCAAACTCATCAGTTAAGTTACCTGCACGTTTACCTTTACTTTCCTTGCGTTCTTGGGAGTGTTAAATTCTCCAAGCTCTTTTTTCTTCTTAAGTATCTCAGAAATTTCAACTGTCTTCTGATTTTCTGCGTTCTTTTACTTTCCATTTTCATTAAATCATCATCATCACCATTATTAGTCGCACGATAATAGGTCTTTGAAATATAGGAGTATTTAAATATAAGAACTTTAACTAAAACTTCGTAATTGCTGGTTATATCTATTGTAAATACATATAAAAAACGAGATATAGATATATAGATATAAAACGTTTATTTATCTAATTTACTGTCTTTGTCTTATATATTTTTAAAATTTAGTAAAATTTAAGCTAAATGCGTGACCTCTCCGAGTTCGAAAAAGGGCAAATTGTTGGAGCTCGCATGACAGGAGCCTCGATCAGTAAGGTTGCTGAACTGTTGGGTTTTTCAAGAGCTACCATATCAAGAACTATGACGCAATTCGAGAAAGAGTGCGAAACCTCTAGCAACCATAGCAATTCGAGCCGGACTTGCAAACTTACTGACAGGGACCAACGTGCATTGAAACGCAATGTGGCAAAAATCATCGGGCTACTAGTAACTGTTGAGTTGAATAATCATCTGAATAGTCCAGTTTCTACTAAAACTGTTCGTCGTGAGCTCCATGAGGCTGCATATCATGGAAGAGCCGCTGTGAGGAAATGTCTTCTCTCCACTCGCAACATTCAGAAGAGGTTGAAGTGGTGCTGTGATCACAGTGCCTGGTTTGCAGACCAATGGAAGCAAGTCATATTCTCAGACGGGTCCAGTTTTTCTCTTTTCCCAACTTCAGGGCGATTTTATGTGTGGAGGCAACACAAAAGAAGATTACAACTATGACTGCCTTCTTCCAACAGTGAAGCATGGAGGTGGATCAGTGATAGTTTGGGCCGTCATGGAAATGTCTCAGTCCAATAGTTGCCCTGCATGGTAGAATCAACAGCAAACATTACCTGAACATTTTGGGAGATCATGTTCATCCAATGGCCCAGACTTTATTCCCCGCATCTTCCAAGACGATAATGTTCCAATACATACCGCTCGAGTGGTTAAGAATTAGTATGAAGAACATGAAAGTGAGCTAGAACACATGGAGTGGCCTTCCCAAACTCAAGATATCAATATTATTGAACATTTGTGGTACGTATTAAAGCTGTATGTGAGGCTAAAGGAGGACTAACTCCATATTAAATAAATTTTCTTTGAATTGATCAAGTGTTTCAATTATTTTGTCCAACCCCTGTAGCTGAGTTGAAAGCCGAAAAATTATTACAGATTTGCGCAAGTAGATCTGGCGGCGCCCATTCCTCTCTACGTCAAAGCACAGCTGATTTCGACCAACTTGAAGGCTCGCTTTTAGCAAAACGAACAAGTGACCGTTGATAACATTGGCGGTGGGGAACTGTGTCCGCCCTTGGCTATGACTCCATTCCAGGAAGCACCGCCCGGCCATATTGTTTCACTACTGCACCGGCTGCAGACATAGCTATGGATTTCAATTTCTACCACTGTTCTCGATGGCCTTTGATGCTACAAGAAGGCTCAATCGACATTTAACAGGTATGATTTTACACCCTGTTGGTTGCCAAGCCACCAGAAAAGCCTAGTTGGGGACCTGGTTTATTTGCCGACGACCCAACCATCCTGCTGTTAGAACTCTATTACATCACTCGTAAAGTGACCAAACATAAAAATAAATTAGCAAGTTATTTAAAGTCAGAAAATATTTTTAGATTGTAAAAATTCTTTTTGGTGGGTGGGGAATAATAATGGTGTACTGATACAAGTTTTACTAATTGTTGGGGGTGGGAGAGGGAAAACGAGGTGGATTCATACTTTTCCCAAGGGTATTGGCGCGTAGATGAATATAAAGAACTCAACGGCAATTGGAACTCGGCTCTCCGATTTCAAATTCCAGACCGTTATCTATTACGTCTTTCTGCACATCCAAGCTTACAGCATCTTGTATTCTCAAGTGGTCACCCATCTATGTACGAACCAGGCTCGACGTTGCTTAACTTCGTACGAGAACCGGTGTTTGAGCGTGATATGGCCGTAAGCCATTGATTTAGAAAGTAACGCTATTTTCAATCCGTCCGAATTTAATAGAAATTAAGAAGCAAATCGTCAGTTTTAACTTTGCTTCGATGTCGTCTTTTATTAAATTTAGTTGTTCATTTTTTTTCTTTTTCTCTATTTTCGTAATTTTAAACTAATTTCTTTCGTCGTAAATTGCCACTGGAAAGAGTGGGCGATTTTGAAAGAAAGAAAAAAAAAAAAAAAACAGTTGGGAAATAAATAGGGATCTGAAAGAGAAAAGAAAATCCTTCTTAAAGAATTGCTAATTAACTAATTCACAACGGTAATATTGGGCTGGAAGAAAAGTTCGTAGCTTTCTTCAATAGGTGTCGTTTGAACAAGGGATTTCGTTTCACACGTGACTGAAATTTATGACACACACACACACACACACACACACACACACACACACACATATATATATATATATATATATATATATATATATATATATATATATATATATATATATATATTCTGAAAGGTGACATTTGAACACGTCTTTCTATATAATTCATGTGTGGATTGTAAAATTTAAACGCGTTTATATTAAATGTGAAAATGGAGGAAAAATCCTTGATTTAGTTTGAAAATGTGAAGAAGGTTAAGTTTATTAAGACTAAAACCCAATGAATAATCAAGAGTGACCACCCCTTATTTTGTTACTTTCCTCTTTGAGAGATCTATTTCTATTTACTGGGACTATAAAAGGTCACTATACGCGAACTTTGTATTCTTAGTTGAATAAAGCTTTCTTAAAGCCTACACCTGTGTACTTTTGTCATTACACCCATTATGTCGTAACTGATTAGTCAGCCGGGGTAACTTTTAAAGATTAAAACCCTTGATATAGTTTGTGAAGTTAGGAGTGTGTGTAAATTTTTTAATACTAAAACCCATGATTTAGTAAGTGAATAACGAGACGGGGTAATTTTTTAAACATTAAAACACTTGACAGAGTTTGAAAATTGGAGTCTGTGTAAGTTTTAAAAAATATAACCAATGATTTATTTATTGGATTATGAGACGGGCTAAGTTTTTTTTCTTTACAGCAAAAACCTTGATTTAATTTTTTAAAAATACGAGACGCGTTAATATTTTAAGAATCAAAACTTTGTATTTAATTTAAATTATCAGCATTTTGAATTTTTTTTATTCGTTTCTGTTGATTTAAAAATAAAAAAATTATTGATACTTGGAGCCAATTTATTAAACCGACTCAGTGAGGCGATTTTCAAGAATTGGAAGTTCTAACGGGTTTCATTATTGGTGGCCACAGTTTAACACCATAATTTATGCAGATGACGCAATTCTAATAGCAGACACAGAAAGGAAACTACAAGAACTCCTACAGAAAATAATGAAGGAAAGAGAGAAGAAAGGATTAAACATCAATGGCAAGAAGACGGGATGAATGATTGTCAGTAAAAGGAAGAACACACCATGCCAATCACAAGTTGGAGATTCCAAATTCAAACCGGAACAACAATTTAAATATCAGAAAGCGGAAAACGAAATCAGAAGGCATCTTGGGATAAGGAAAATTGCCTTCCAAAAGCTAAGCAGGGTATTAAGAAACAGGAAAATTTCGTTAGAAACAAAGAAAAGAATACTGAACTGTTACGTAATATCAGTCTTCTTATATAGCAGTGAATGCTTTACAGATGAAGAAGGGACTTGAAGTAACAGAAATACAGAAGGATGCTGAGCATACCATGAAACGAACGTCTGAGCAATAATGAATTTTTAGAGAAAATGGAAACAATAAGGACACTTCCACTGAAGAAAGAGACAGTTGAAATTTCTAGAGCACATAACTGAGGAAAGGGGGCTTGGAAAATGTGATACTCACAGGACAGATTGAAGGTGGAACAGAGGAAAACAACATACAATCTACTTAACGAGCTTGAGTAAATAAATTGCGGAACATAGTTTAGGTGAGGTAACAAAAAGACAAAAAAATATTATGAGTTACAAAGGACAGGAAATGGTGGAGGACCATGATCGTCTTGAAGGGATACGGCACATAGAAGAAGAAGATACGGTGTGAGGTGACGGAAGGCCGCCCGAAAGATAAAGTTATAAGGCCCTATAAAGAAACAACGTCTTTCCCGGTTTGGAATGAGTTGCCATAGGGAAGTAATTCCTTTAAGAAAAATGGTGCTCATATTCTTGAGCTAATGTTCTCGGCTGACATAAAGTAGAAAGATTATACTGAGTCAATTGCTAAGTCTGCTGCTAATAAAGTTTGTTCACTGTGTCATGCTAGACAAGTTTTCTCTCCAGAATCTATGTTGCATATCTATAAGTTTACTATTCGTCCACGCTTAGAATATTCCTGCCAAATATGGTCCGATGCTCCTGCTATATATTTAGAGATCCTTGATAATATCCAAAGAAGAATCAGCAGTATTATTGACCATAATCTGGTGTATCGACATCAGTGACTTTTCCACCACCATAAAGTTGCTTTCCTTGTCTTTTCTATAAATACTTTCATGGTAATTGTTCGGATGAGTTATTCGATAGGGTACCTAGACTTTATGAATTTTAGCGCAATGCCGCCACAGAGGACCTTTTCTGCCTTTCATCAGCATGGCTGATGAAAGGCGAAAAACATAAGTTAAAAAATAAATAGCAAATATGGTAGGAACTCGAATCTTAACTTCATTTTTTATGTTCAGACGGCTTAGCACCAACACTAGGACAGGCTTTCATGCCATTATAAAACGGGTAATTTGCTTTTTAAACCCCGCGCTAAATATGTAATAAAAAATTGCCGAAGAGTTATATTTAGGTGTAAATGTATATGTTTAATTTGAAAATAACAAAGAAATTTTGATAAAATCTACCGTTTTGGAGTTATCGACAATAGAAGTTCGAATTCATTTGCGTCACGGCAGCCATTACTGAAGTCTGGATACATAGGTAAAAATGTATATTTTCAAGAAATGAAAATTTCAACAACATTTTATTGAATTGGAATATTAACAAAACTTCAATATGATTTCCATCATTTGTGATGCAAAAGTTGATGCGATTTGCAAGATTCACGTGAACTCGATTCAATATCTCCACGTTGCCGTCAATTTTAGCACAGTCACTCTTTACGCATTCAATCAAGTGTATTGCATCTGTGATTTTCATTGAGTACACCTTCTTCTTTAGCATCCCCCAGAAAAAGAAGTCACTTCTATTTTCTTTCGACAAAAAACAATGTTTAATCTGTGGAGGCAAAAAAATATAGTTAATGAGATTTCCTGTGTCCAGAATTTACGGACACCCTATATATGTATATATACATACTTAACAAAGGATAGCTCGATATATAAATTTAGTGTATTGTGGCAGCAGATCATTATTCAAACATATATTGTTAAATATAACAGACAACGAATGTCTATTATGTTTGATCATGAGCCGTTCTAAGCTTCATATATTGGCTTTAGTTTTGGGAGAAAATAAAGACAAAAACTGTCCAACATTTGGATGTTTTTTATTATGCTGTTCTTCGATAGAAACTTTCGACTCACATGAGCTATCATCAGAGTGGTTATATGAACATTATAACAGAGATGTTCACCATCAAAGATGACATTTCTTTCTCTCACGTGGTCATGTGCAACATCATACAGCCGCATAACGAATTTAAGACCTGTGTCTGCAATTACGCGACCGTTATCGGCGCATTGCAAACCTCTATGTAAGCTTAACAGGATGTCATCTTTGATGGTGAATTTATCAATATATATGTGTGTGTGTGATACATTTTCCTCGTCGGAATCATCCCTATTAATTATCAAATAAATAAAATATATATATATATATATATATATATATATATTATATTTGACAATGTAAAATGTTGATTGGATATGGATTTGATTACGCATTTCCCCTTTCCAGGCTTCAGCAGATCCCAAAACGAAAGAAAGAAATGTGTCTGTGTATTTGTGTGTATGCTTAAATAAAGACTCCTAGTCCTTTTCCCTAAGCTGGCGTTTTTTGTGATTAAAGAAGAAAGAAAATGGATGACATTTAAAAAAGCCGTTAATATTTATTCTATATATTTTCTTTATAATTCTTAGAAAGTTAATTTTCCCCAACTTTTTGTATCGAATTAAAGGTAACTCTTCAACTCATTTTCAGAATGGTTCGAAAGTACGAAATTGATATAGCCTTTTCTAAAACAAATCCAAGGCAAATCCTCATCCAATTCTTTCAGAATGGATTGAAAGTAAAAGATTTATATGTTTTTAGGTCAATCCATGTGTTTTCCGTGTCGACAATGGGCTTAAAATCAGATATAGAATCGCGACCAAATTTCTTAAAAACGTTGGCTAAAATATAGAATATATTTCGTGCTAATACATAAGTAATTTAATAAATACAATGTATTAAATGTACTTAAGATAATAATTCTTAGTGAGACATTCTTAATAAATTTAACGTGTTAAATAACACTTATTTTAAAACGTAAAACAATTCATGTATACCACGTCTTATTTTAGAATATAAACGAATATGTATTTTGATAATTAAAGATTATAAAGGCCTAATAAATATAATAAAAAACATGAGAATAATAAATGGATAATTAAAACAATCAAGACTTTCTTTTTAAAATACGACATCACTTTCTTTGAGCATCCACTCCAACATCAGAGACAGAGAGAGGTAGTAATCCGTTGGTACAATCCAAGCGAGTCCTATTAACGCAATATAGAAATTTAAATATTAAATGTTAAAACTGATTCACAAAGAGCGCTCAATGTTTATTTTCATTAAACAGAGCAAAGTTGTTCGTACAGTACATCCTGCGAATTTTAAATTTAAAATACTAACCAGTCCCCTTCTACAAACTGACACTATAAACAGTTTGAAAAATCCTGAGAATTTTAAATTTAAAACTAGTGTGACCATTAAGATGTAGGTCAGCTCATCGGGTTCCCCTTTTCTCTCCCCGCCGACTCTTACATC